GGAAGCAGAAGGGTCCAGGTCATGGTGGAGACACTGAGCTCAGTCTCCTGAGTTCACAGCTGGGTGGGGGCCCTGACCCTCTTATTCCTTCTCAGACCCCTTGGAGCCAGGGTTGTTTGACATTTATGCAAATTTACTCCACCTCTGGGGACTCTGATAAACCAGCCCTGATAGCATAGTGGTTACAAGTTGGGCTGTTAATGTCATGGTCAGTAGTTTGAAACTACCAACAGTTCCCCATGAGTAAGATGAGGTTTTCTGTTCCTGTAAAGATCTACAGCTTTGGAAACCCTATAGAGGGTGCTATGGTAGAAACTGACTCTATGGCACAAAGCCACCCCCAGGGGCAGGCCAAGTCAAGAATGGGTATATGTAGCTTCCTGAGTTTTCTTTGAACTGTATGCAGGTTGGAAAAATCAAGACTGGCACCAAGGAATAGGGTCACAGTCACTTTGTCAGGGTGTGGCCACATCAGGAGAAGTTCTGCTGGCTCAGTGGGTTACATTTTGGGCCCTGTTGGAATCAAATCGATGGCTATAGGTTGTTTCCCTTTTCGTTTGGGCCAGGTGAGCACTCTCCTCACCTCTCCAACCTCCACCTTGATGTTCAGTGCTACAGAGTTGTGTCTGACTCATAGCAACCCTGTATGGGATTTCCGTGGAGCAATTCGTGAATTTTAGCTACTGACCTTGCAGTTCAAACCCACTTTGCAGTCCCATCAATTAATCAAAGTGCCACTCCAGTACTCTAGATTAGAGGGTCTGATAACAGCTGATTCCTCAGGACCTTCCTCCACCTCCTTCATCTCTCTAATCCCTGAATTCACATGCAGTCTTGTCCTCACCTCTGCAGTTCACTAGAATGCAGGTCTATGTCATTAGGGTTGTTGGGAATCCCGGCAGATGAGGTAGCTTGCTTATTCAATCAACAATATACTTGTATAGAAGTGGTGTATATTCCAGTCTCAGGCCACATGGTTTTTACATTCCTTCCATGACATCCTCCTCAATAACATTGACGTTGTGCCCTCTGGGTTTTCACTATTTTTTGTTTTCAAGTCATTTTACCCCTCTCTCTTTGTTTTTATACTTCAATGGTGTGTGACAGGAAATCATGCTGACCAATACCCCAATTAAGAGACCTCTATGGGAGCTCTCTTATTGCTTGATCTCTGCCCACAACTGGACACTAGTGACTAGACCATCAGTAGCCCCTGCAGGTAAAGTGACAGTTCCTGAACAGAGCCCAGTGATCAGGGTTGTGACAGCGTCCCCTGGAGACAGTGATTTGTCACTGAACATAGCCCAGTGATCAGGGCTAGGACAGTGAGGTGCAGTGGTTCCACGTCACTTGTAGAGAAGAGTCAATGGAGATTTTCATCCAAGGATGAGAAGACTCCATGCTTCATCTATCACAGGAGTGGAGTTTCCTGTGCACAAGGTAAACGTGGGCTTACTTATACTTACTTACAAATCTGTAGTGAACAGTTGTACTTACTTATGATTCTAGTTAACATTCTTATTCCTCTTGTTCTATTTAGGATAAGTATATCTGTGATATTAAAAATAAGAGTTTCTTATAAATGAAATGTAATCCTTTACTATCAGCAAATCACAAGAATAAATCTTCATAGAGTCTACTTGTACTTTCTGAAACCTGTATGTAGTCAGGGACAACTATTTACATAGGACAATGAAACGACAGATTAGTAAGTAAGTACCACTGTTCTCTTCAGATTACCCGTGTTTACCTTGCGTTCTGGGTACCATGTCCCTGTCAGGGATTGTAATTTGAAAAAAAAACTTTGATTCAGTAGGAAGGTACTATGGAGTTGTGAGAAAGAGAGGTGCCAGCCAGAACTATTAACACAATTTTGGATGTAGTGAAAAGGATGTGACATTGTTCACTACAGATGATCTGGTAAATTAAGGAAGCGCCATGCTTACTTTATGTATTAGATAATCTGTCCTTGGACACCAACCTGAGACTAGACTTGAACATGAAGTGCAGTCCTGTGGGGTCATCTGAATGCAGAGCTGTCCTGGAGGTGGGAAGAGAGACAAAGGGGTGGAGAAGTCAGGATCTCTGAAAATGTCTAGGTCAGAGGTCACCTTCTCTTGGACCTCTGCTGCACAGTGAGGGGTTTATGTCTTAATAATAATAAGGAGGCTCTGCAACTGTCCTCAGGGAATAACAGACCCTGGGAGCCCTACGTCTCCCTGTGCTGCATTTCAAGGTCAGGTGTGTCTCCCGAGTGCACCCCAGCTCTGCAGGAGTTATATACCTGGACCAGGTTCTCCCACCTCATTTACAGGTAAGGACTCATTGTGCTTGTTCTCCCAATCACAGTCCTGAGACTGTTTCTCATGGTCCCTAACTGAGGGGATAACTTAGGGTGTCCTAATCCTCCAGTCCAATGACAACTTTAACCACCTTTTGTCTCCTATTCAAGCTGCTTTCCCAGTTGACTGGGCTTCACTTAGCTTCACTTAGCTCTTGTGTCTCTCTTGGTTGCACCTGGCTGCAGTTTTGCTGCCTTCTGCTGGTGGAGACCAGGAGTTCCCTCCTCTTGGTGTCTCCAAAGCACCTCTCACATGAGCTATTCTAGAACAGGACCACCACCAGTTGCTCTTGAGTTGAATCTGATTCATGAGGATCCCATGTGTGTTGGAGTAGCATTGTGCACCACAGGATATTTTTTAAAAACATTTTTAAAATTATGAATTGAGTGAAGGTTTACAGAGCAGATCATCAGTTTTACACTTGGCAAATCATATATTTTGCTTGATTACAATGATTCAATCACTTCCAGATACCATCAGTTAACAGTACATTTACATGTATTCACTTTTACTATTCTCTCCTGTGTCTCCTGTTACCTTCATCTTTCCTCTGGGAATCTCTTTCCTGTTATATATTACCTGCCCTGTCACCCATGTTAACTGGTATTCTACCCTTTAACCCATGAATAATTTCCCTCCTCTCATCCCCCTTAACCTTATAGATTGTTTCTTTTACTAAGAAAACAGTTTCTTAACATTTTACAAAGACAATATTTGTACTTTTGTGATTGACTAATTTTACACAGCATAATGTCCTCCAGGTTCAACCATGCAGTGATGTGTTTTGCCAATTCATCACTGGTGTTCAACGTTGCATAGCATTTCATATGTGTGTTTACCAAAGTTTGTTTAACCACCTCTCTATTGATGAACACTTTATTGTCTCCAGTCTTTTGATATGTCTCTTGTAGATTGCATTTTGAAGGATCCTGTTTTCTTATCCATTCTGCTGTTTCTCTTGACTGGTGTATTTAATCCATTTACAATCAGTATAATTATCAATAGGTATTAATTGATTGCTGTAATTTTTATTTGTTTTTTTGGGAGGTTTTCTGGGATGTGTGTCTGTGTTTCATTTTCATTTCTGTTGGTAATGTTTGCATGAAAACATGGAAGAAATACACAGAGTCACCGGACCAAAAGGAAATGGTTCATGTTCAACCATTTCAAGAGGTAGCATGTGATCAAGAGCCAATGATACTGAAGGAGGAAGTCCAAGGTGCATTGAAGGAATTGGCAAAGAACAAGGCACCAGGAATTGATGGAAT